ACAAAGAAGTGAAGAAGAGTGCTAGGAAGGACAAAAGACGATTCTACGACAACCTAGCCACTGAAGCTGAGAAGGCAGCAGGCAAAAGGGACCTGAGGACACTATATCAGATAACCAAATCTCTATCCGGGAAGAGATCAACACAAGCGAAACCTATAAAAGACAGCCAAGGGAACCCAATTACCAAGGAAGAAAAACAGATTAAACAATGGGCGGATCACTTCAAAGGACTCTTGAACCGACCATCACCTGCAACCCGTCCAGAAATACCAACAACAACGCGCACACAACTGCAAGTTGACACCAATCCTCCAACGAGAGCTGAAGTCTTGAATGCAATCAAGCTTCTGAAAGCTGGAAAAGCAGCCGGACCAGATGGAATACCCCCTGAAGCACTGAAAGCGAACCCAGAGACGACAGCAGACATGCTGACTCCATTATTGCAAAAGGTCTGGAAGGAGGGAAAGGTGCCTACTGACTGGAGGAAAGGTTACCTCGTGAAACTACCAAAGAAGGGCGACTTAGGACTCTGCAAGAACTGGCGAGGAATCATGCTCCTGTCGACGCCAAGTAAAATCCTGAGTCGCATCATCCTGGAGAGATTAAAGGACGCACTGGAGACAGAACTCCGACCAGAACAAGCTGGATTGAGGAAAGGCAAATCATGTACTGACCAAATTGCAACTCTACGCATCATCATCACGGAACAAAGCATGGAATGGCGATCAAACCTCTACCTCAACTTTATAGACTTTGAGAAGGCCTTCGACAGCGTTGATCGTGAAGTAATTTGGAAATTACTCGAGTACTATGGCGTACTCCAAATATTCATCAACCTTATTCAACAGCTGTACGACAACGGAACATGTCAAGTGATCCACAACGGAAAACTCAGAAAGGCGTTTGGAGAAAACGCAGGAGTCAGACAAGGGTGCCTATTATCACCAATGATATTCCTAATTGTGGTTGACTGGATTATGTGTCAGACAGTGGGAAACGAGAAGACAGGAATATCCTGGACCGACGTGAAGAACCTAGAAGACCTGGATTTCGCGCGTGGATGATTTATGCTTGATGTCACATCAAACACTTAAAAGCGAAAATCGACAAACTGGTCGAAGAAGCAGACAGTGAAGACAGGACTCCAGGTTGACATAGACAAGACGGAGGTTATGAAAATAACCAACCAACAACAGCAACAACATCCAACGCCAATCACCATCAACGGGAGAGATTTGAAAGAAGTTACTTCATTCATTTATCTTGGGAGCATTGTCTCAACTACAGGCAGTCGGAACGGACGAGGATGTCAAATCGAGCGAGAATCGGGAAGGCGAGAAACACATTCATCAGACTGAAATCAATCTGGAAATCTTCGTCACTCAGCAACATCAACAACAAAATCCAGTCGGATTTTCAATGCAAACAACGTCAGGTCAGTCAGTTCTTCTTTACGGATCAGAAGCTTGGCAGGCGGGTCACAAGGAATATTTCCAACAGTCTGTTGCAGACCTCTATTAACAACTGTCTTCGCTCTATACTGAGGATCAGATGGCCGGAAAGAATCACCAACAAGGAATTATGGGAACAAACAAAGCAAGAACCAACCAATCGCCCAACAAATATGCAGGAGAAAGTGGAGATGGATTGGACACTCGCTGAGGAGACCGCTGGGTGACATCGCGCGTCAAGCCCTCGAGTGGAACCAGGCGAAAGGGAAGCGGCGGGTGGGACGTCAGTGCAAGGGTGACATGGAGGAGATCGTGTGAAGAGAAGTTGAAAGAATATGGACTAGCATGAATGCAGGTGAGAAGTACAGCAGAAGACAGAAGCAAATGGAGACGTGCAGTTGAAGCCCTATGTTCCACTAGGAACCCAAGGGAGCAATAATAATAATTAATAGTGGTCGTATAATTGAAAAAACGAGAGGCTTCATTTTTTTCATTTTTTTATTCATCGTATCCCACCGAATCTTTCCAATAGACTTCGCATTCGTCTACTGCACACACACAGCTGAGGCAATAGGCATTCGATCTATTAAACCTAAACTATGCATTCAAAAAAAGTTCCTACAGTCATTATCTCTCCCATGGTGGCCTATTAAGACATAACCAACTGATGACTTCTACACTATCCCTTGTTTATATTTTCAACCCCTTTCTTATCATTCCTTAATCTGATCACATCTTCATTAAAAGCGTGTTTCATTTACTTCCCTTACAGCCAGTCTTGTATTACTTGATAGGTTCATTTGTTTTTACTAGCCTTTATCGACCACTACTTACACCTGAACAATTGTTTGTTTAATCATGCTGTTTTTCATTATTCGTGTTATCACAGATTGCCTCACGTTTTCATCCTTATTGTTGATAAAACCATTATTATTATTACTATTATTATCATTACTACTATTACGACTAATTGCACAATGTATATTCACATCTTATTATCCTATATACAAAACACCCTGATTGGTTTATATTTGAATTTTTATTTGTAAACTTATATATATTAGAGTTAAGCCTGATGAGATCTAATTGGAAACACCAATATTGTTCTCTTTAATGCGTTGTTCTACGTTTGACTATGGGAATATTTAATATATTGAAATATCAATCTACCAGCTCAGAGAAATCTCATATATTTTACGAAATCAGCCAGTAAGTGAAAGAAGCTCAGTGAACATAGTATCTAATGCGAACACAGAATTCAATATCTGTTATCAGGATGAAGTTCCGTACTGAAAAAGTCCTAATTAATCATTTTTTTATATATTCGTCAACTAGTACTTTCATAAATTATGAGTGATTATCTCATGAGTGACCATCAAAATAACTGTTCATGTGGTAGGCTTAAGGAAATTTCGATCACCTGAGTATGGTTCTCACAATGATAATAATCAAAACTGCTCACAATGGTGTAAACGGGGTCATCCATCACAGTCATCACAATTCCAAATATGTTCACTACAAATACTATTACTTTCTTCCTACCTATCCTTGTCCATTCTAATATCAAATCAAACTGACACAAATCTACACAGTTTTCTTTTGAATTAGTCAGATAACCAGTCCACCTTTTCAAATTGGTATTTTGATGAGATTATCAAATTTGGAAGTCAATTTTACGCCGCGTTTTAGCATAGGATGTCAACAATGATCAAAAGGTTTAGTGACTGGAATAGAAGTAAGATCTGGAAATTGACCATACCAATAAAAATGAACAGTTCGCATTTCGATCTCACTTTAATTCAGATAATTATTATCATTTATCATCCTATTAACGTTCAAAAGTTAAAATTTTGAAATTAACAGAAAAAAACATTATTCCTGAATATAATTTTAGACTACTTAAAAACATTTACAGTAGTGTGTAATAAATCTTCGCAAAGTCATTATTCTAACGTAAAATTTCATCACAAACGCCATTATTAGTCAGAGATCATTGAAAAGCAGACAGCATTTGAAAGCTGTTTCATCCTAGATTGGGACTGTTTGGCAGTAGACAGTAACTACCCAACCAGATATTGGACACGGGAGTTTGGCTGACCATTCACACTCTTCAGCTGGAATACAAGGACCCATAAATTGTAATATTGTCAATTCATGGTATAACACCGTCCTAAACCAGTGATTTCGATAAGCATGCACCTCCTGAAGATGTCCCGATAAGTGTTGTCCATTAGGATCTGCTGTGTCAAGGTGAAGTGGATCTTTTTTGAAGCCATTATATCACGAACTAACAAAATCAGAATTCGAATAAAGCAGAACAATCGTTTCTGCAGAATAAAATGGCACCATCACTGTTTATTTCGTTGGCTTCTCATCAGTTTCTGACAGGCAGAAACAGTTTCAACATACTTGCACAGAGTTCATTTTTAGACAAAAAATCAATCAATCATTATGTGCATTACGTAATCAGATGAAAGGGAGATGAAAACTATCCAGTTACCAGGTTGGCAAATAAAGACTGATAACCCCTTCTTTCTGAAAGTATAAATCAGGCTTCAGGCGCTTGGTGAAAGTGGCTTTAGCAAACTTGAGGAGAATTGAACTCTTTTGCTTATTGATAATTTTGAACGATCTTGCGACGTCCACCTCATGATCCGTGTCAATGAGATGCCTGGTGATGGCACTGTTGAAAGTATTTGCTCCCTTTAGACATAAGCTTTTTGGTACATGTTCAGGAAATCGTAGATATGCCCTTCTTTCTGTCCTTCCAATGTAACTGCTCCCGCAGATACATGCAAATTTGTATATACATTTGAAGTTAACATGAGAAGGATATCTATCGATTTTTGACTGCACCAATGAGCAAGTTGTTCAAGAGATGAGAATGAGCTTAGCTGCAGGATAGGCTCTGGCTAGCCATGTACTCAGACTTCTGTTGATCTTCGCTGCAATGTTTTCACCCTTATAATCGAGTTGAATGTAGATTGGCATTTTCTCCACTGTTATTTGTTTGACTTTTGAAACCTGACTTTTGCGCTCAGAAAGAAACAGTTTTCGGTCTCTTTGCCAACCTGGTAACTGGATATTTTCACCTCTCTCACTGTGCAAGTGTGTTAAAATTGTTTTTGCCTATTAGCAGCTGAGGAGAAGCCAACGAAATAAACGGAAATGATACCCTTTTATTCTACAGAAACGATTGTTCTTGCTTTATTCAAATTCATTAAGGGGAATAAATGTTTGCAAGTCAGAATTCACGAGTCCTTAAATTCCGAATCAAGTGTCTAAATGGTCTAGCAGAGCTTGACTTCGTGAAATCAAGGTCGCAGGTTCCATCTCTGATGGAGTCTTGGGTTAATTTTTCTGAACATCCCAAGTTAGGATGAAGTAGCTGTCCAGTATTCTCCAGTTTTCAATGATCTCTGCACATGATGTTGGCTCATAATGAAATGTAACAACTAAAATCCAAGGAAAATCATAATTTGAATAATTCTTCTCATTTAAAATTATTGAATTTAATTAATTAAATGAATATACTTCAAAAGGCATTACCTAAAGCTGTGCAGATTCTCTGTTCTACAACAGCGCATTCTCCTGTATCAAAAAGTGTTGATGATTCTTTCTTCCATTCCATAATTTTTGATTCAATTTCATGCATAAGTGAGTGATAGAGCATTATTTTATCGTCGAAAGACTCATCATCCATCTCACATCTTAGATAACGAAGCTTCTTTACAATGCTTAATCCTAAATAACTCAATTGTATTACATCAGCTTTACTCAGAGTTTCATGCTATTAGAAAAAAGATGGAAACAAATTTAGTAGAGGAGATTATTAAAATTATTAAAGAAATAATATTATTAATAAGACTAATCTTAATTAAATATAAATATTAGAATTTAATTGGTGGATAGTGACTAGCAATGGAATCCAGAACAACGCACATTTCGTCCTATTTGGGACTCGTCAGCCAGTGGATGAACCTGTATTCCGCAGTGAGTGATGATGTTACCACACATCCGGATGACGAGTCCCAAATAGGACGAAATGCGCTTTATCCTGGATTCTACCACTGCTAGTCACCATCCACCAATTATATTCTAATTACATGCCTAGAAATTGTCGAAGCACCTTCACAAGAAGCCGACATGTCAACCTGAGACCGAACACTCTGTTGTATGTTCCAATTTCCTGATTAAAATTAAGATTGGATGAATTGACTGGATAACAAGAGTAGTCACGTTAAGTAAAGTGATTTAACATGACAGTAAGTTGAAACTACATGAATTGATGTAACATAGGTATGTTGAATGATTAAACCATAAGAGAATACAAATCAAGTGACTGTATGGTTTTTCTTACGCATTATGCCATCATATAGATATAGTTTTGAATTAAACTTCAATCAACACCTATTACACAAATGGTGACCTGTCAGTCTGACGTCAAATCAGATATTTCCATCGATAGATAATGTATATATATATATATATATATATATATATATATTTCAAGTATTGGTTTATGAGGATTTGACTGATTGGTTCCAGGATTTTATCATGAGCTCACATGGCTTAGAGAACCATAGAAAAACACAACAGGGAGTGCTTGACAGCTGCTTTGTCACATCACTTTAGGACTCTTTATCAGCACCCACCCACCGGAGTCCACACTCAGGACCTCTGGTCACAAGGCGAGCTCATAGACCATTAATCCACTGGGACCCGATCTGATTGTCCATGAACTCTAACTTCTGCCAATTCATATATATATATATATGTCTGTTTCAACATAGAACTTTGCACCGATGTGCGGCAGTTCAAGTCGCCACACTTCATGTGGCACACAAAGCAGGAGAAGAAAGTAGAAGAAATGCAGAATAGAGACAGTAAACAGAGGTGTGAGACAAAGAAATAGTAATAACGAAGAACTATATAGTTTCATTGGAAATCATAAGTCACACGGAGTGGATGCGTTTGCACCAACTACTGAGAACGATTTTGAACCATATCACCAATTGTTTCCAGCCGTCATTGGTGCTTACCGTCCCGAGGACCCCAACCAGTCAAGACGTTTACAACTTCCTACGGGGTTTAAACTAACGGCTGCAGATTTAATTGACTGTCGTCATGTTATGGCTTGACCGCTGCTAGCTCACTTTTTCAGCCTGAACCTATGTCAGCTAACATTGCCTGTTATCAAGGAAGGCAATGACCAGGCATACGTAACACATATCCCAACCATCTCAGTCGATGTAACTTCATAACCTCGTCGATTGATTTCCTGTCTTTACCTAGCACTCGATGCTTAACCGCAATACTGCTCACCTTATTAAGCCATTTCACACGGGAGATAGAGAGCAGGCATCTATCATCAAAGACAGCTTATCTTTTCATGTCTTCCAATCTCAGTGGCCAGGTCTCGCTCACAGCCATAAAGGAGGACGGAGCGGACTGATGCGCAGTGCACCCGCCCTTTGGTTGATAGCCGGATATCACGTCTACTGGACCAGAGACGGCGTAAACTGGCATATGCAGAACTAGCCCTCTGAATCCGTGCTGAGGTTTCGTTAGAGATCAACCCGTTGGCACTGGCTGATGGTACCTCCTAAATAAGCGAAGCGGTCAACGTGCTCCACCAACCACTTCACTTCCTATTTCTAAACTAGGAGTCAGTGTAGTCCAGTCCTGTAACATCATCTTACATTTGATGGGAGCGAATCGCATGCCAGACATTCAAAGATTTCCACTGACGGTGTTCAGGAGACTCTATATTTTGTCAGCGTCCTCGCCTTGAAGGACTATATCGTCTGCATATTCCAAGTCAACGAGATTATTCCCTGGTAGCAAGTCAATCCCTCAGTCTCTGAAGTGAGTTAAGGCTAAGTTCATTAGTACATCTATGATGAAATTGAATAGAAATGGGGACAATTGGGCATCCCTGACGGACACCACTAGCTGTCACCACTTCAGATGACAACTTGCCGCAAGCCCTCACCTGGTTGACTGCATGAGTTCGAGTAGAGTGACTGCCTTGATCAGTGCAATGTATTTTCTCGTTATTCCTTTTACAGCCAAGCATCGCCAGAGTACCTCTCGGTCGACAGAATCGAATTCCGCCCTTAGGTCAAGAAATATAATGATTGTTGGACGCCGGTACGAATTTAGATATGATAGAGAAGATTTGTAGCTCAGGTGGATAATTTTGATGTGGTTTTGTTCTCTGAGCTGGATGGTTAGTTTGCGAATGCCTATGTACAACAATCTGTCGTACGGTGAAGATATGATCAATACACCCCCTTCCTGGTCTAAGGTCTGCCTGGTTCTCTCGTACCATAAATATATTAATTCGTTTGCACTCCCAGTGGAAAATAGGGCTTAAGGCTTAGGCTATGAATTTTCAGCAGCAGTGGTATTAGCTTTGCGGGGTGGGGTTGCTAGCCTCCCTCTTAGCTTTTCCTGTGTACGAAGCTTACAGCAAACTAAGGGTAGTAATCATGTCCCCCCGTACCTGGATTCGAGCATTGAACCACGTGCATGGTTGGCGGACATTCTACCGCTGAATGACCGATTCGACCAACCTTTTTATTGTGCTCAATTACTACGTGACTAGATAATTAAGTGAAATCCTTCTTTTATTATGAGGGTTATTATTTTTCTCATTTTATAGTGAAACATAGGGCTTCTAGCTTAAGCTTATGAAGTTCTGATAGCAGTGGTGTCAATTTTTCCCCAGATGGAGTTGCTAGCATAACCCAAAGCCCCACTTCTTTACCTGGCTTACTACAGGATAGACAAGGAGTTAAAGAGTACATCACCAGGATATCGAACCCCTTAACCACTTGAGTAGTTTTTGAGTATTCTTTCGCTGAACCATCTATGAATTTGGATTGGTTATTTACAATACAGGTGTTTCTTGGCCTATTGCAATCATAGAGGAACTCATATCTCTTCTGAGATTCAAAACAATGTCATCCAGTGCTGCAGTCTTGCTGAAGGTAAATTGCGAGCATGAATAACTCAGTGGTACCTCCTATGACTGCACCACTGGGTGGCACAGACTCGAATCTCAGAAGAGGCATGATTTTGGTCAAGATCACAGTACGCCTTACTGATAAGTGCCAACAAGCGCTAAAGCTGGGTCCAATGATTCCTGCTCCAACCACCTCCAACCATCTAGTAATAATAAGCGATATCTAAAATATAGTTAAGAATATTGATGTTGATTGAAATAATTCCACATTCTGACATTAAATCTTAGTAGATTATATCTGACAGCTCTATACTGTATTACGATTTCTGTTTTACTCTAAGATATGTGACGATCAAAAGAAGGTAACATCATTCACTATTACAAACAAGAATCTGTTGACTATGAGCTCATTGTTCATATCACCTGTGATTGACAAATTTCTTCACTAGTAGATATTTGAAGAATATATTCAACTGAGGTCATGAGTCAAAATATATTTGTCTGAGTTACAACGAGATAGTATTAAAATTTTTACTAGACTTTCATCTTTTCAGTCACTGTAATAATAGACTGATGACTATGGTCGATATATATTTATATAAGATTGGCGTATGATAAACATTCATTGTGTTGCAAGGTAAATAGCGATACTGAAGCCATAGTGTAGAAATTTATAGGTAGTTATCACGTCCACAGCATATTATGAAGAAAAGTAAAATGTATCATTGATATAAGAATAAAACTTGTCCATTGTGGGAGAGTGTAATTCCATTATGGGTAAATTTTGTCTTGATAAAGTCTCACAGTGTTATGCAGTAATGTTTACTGATGACCACGTTTCGAGCACAATTTTTTACTGCTCATAATCATATCAGGGTACTACTCACACGACTTTCTAACTTCGTTTATATAGTTCCATTATTTTTCATTTGATTTTCGCTTGATTTGATTGGTAGTAGTATTTTCCATATTCCGGGTATGAGTGATGATCATTCCTATTGCATGTGTTTGGTGTAGACTCCATGAACAAGGATTCAGTAATCAATGTTTATCTGCCTCCACCTACTTAGATTACTTTTTAGAATTTTAACCCTCTCCCACCATGCTATTGTGTGGTTGTGTGTTAATGCATGCAATGCAATTGCTGGGCTTTTTCCCAAATTACTTCTTCTCGGGGTCAAGCATTCTTACCTTAGCTAAATTCTTATGTTCCGACAATCTGACTACCCCTGACCTACCACTGCTCGGTTTGTTAAACACTTAACTAAGCCTGTTCTAACAGTGAACGGATGAGATGAATTAAAGTCCAAATATCTGTTCGAATAAGTTAGTTTTTTGTACTATTCGTTTTATTTTACAATCTAACATAGCTGATTCTCCTTGTTCCTTTTTGTTGTTTGAAGCGGAAAATGAACAAGTTTATGTTTCATATTTGGCAACGAATTCATAAATAAGGAAGGAAAATACAACAGTACTGAGCAAATCCATAGTGAGGTAGTTATGCAGGCCAGTGCAAGTCAGTCATCACAATACACTACTGCGTAGCTAATTTGTATTACATAGTTCGTTGTACGAGGGTCCTGCTATAAAACTATCAACAAAGTGGGGGATTAGCGATACAATAGATGTCGGTTTCAGCCATACACTGATACAAGCTTGAACCACATATACGGTGTAAATCTGAAGACTCTCTCTCTCTCTCTGTTACAGTTTTAACTCCCCCCTCCACTTGTCAGTTTCACTACCACTATAGTTGTTACTATTTAGTGTGACATGTTTTCAATCTTTTAATCTTCTTTATGTATGCTAAGTGGACAGTCAGAAATCTTAAACTATATTTAGTTGACTTTCTTTCTTGTTACGTATGGCATCCTTTTGACATCCATGATAGGCTTTAGCATAATTACATGGTCTTCTTCCGACATAAGTTTCGTATTATTCTTCAACACTACATTAGTGACATAGTCTGACCTTCTATTGACCAAAATCAGACTTTTATCTCTCTGAGTATGGCATATCTACCTTACCGCTAAGTTTCTGATCCGTTTCGTATAGAAGAACTGACTGACTTGACGTTGTTTGTATTGAAAATCCGACTGGATTTTGTTGTTGATGTTGGCTGAGTGACGAAGATTTCCAGATTGATTTCAGGCTGATGAATGTGTTTCTCTCCTTCCCGATTTGACATCCTCGTCCGCTCCTCCTCCTGTAGTTGAGACAATGCTCCCTAGATAAGTGAATGAAGTAACCTCTTTCAAATCCCTCCCGTTGATGGTGATTGACGCTGGATGTTGTTGCTGTTGTTGGTTGGTTATTTTCATAACCTCCGTCTTGTCTATGTTCACCTGGAGTCCTGTCTTCACTGCTTCTTCGACCAGTTTGTCGGTTTTCGCTTGTAAGTCTTTGATGTGACATCAAACATAAATCATCCACGCGCGAAATCCAGGTCTTCTAGGTTCTTCACGTCGGTCCAGGATATTCCTGTCTTCTCGTTTCCCACTGTCTGACGCATAATCCAGTCCACCACAATTAGGAATATCATTGGTGATAATAAGCACCCTTGTCTGACTCCTGTGTTTACTCCAAACGCCTCGCTGAGTTTTCCGTTGTGGATCACTTGACATGTGCCGTTGTCGTACAGCTGTTGAATAAGGTTGATGAATATTTGGGGTACGCCATAGTACTCGAGTAATTTCCAAATTACTTCACGATCAACGCTGTCGAAGGCCTTCTCAAAGTCTATAAAGTTGAGGTAGAGGTTTGATTGCCATTCCATGCTTTGTTCTGTGATGATGATGCGTAGAGTTGCAATTTGGTCAGTACATGATTTGCCTTTCCTGAATCCAGCTTGTTCTGGTCGGAGTTCTGTCTCCAGTGCGTCCTTTAATCTCTCCAGGATGATGCGACTCAGGATTTTACTTGGCGTCGATAGGAGCATGATTCCTCGCCAGTTCTTGCAGAGTGAGGCCTAAGTCGCCCTTCTTTGGTAGTTTCACGAGGTAACCTTTCCTCCAGTCAGTAGGCACCTTTCCCTCCTTCCAGACCTTTTGCAATAATGGAGTCAGCATGTCTGCTGTCGTCTCTGGGTCGCTTTCAGTGCTTCAGGGGGTATTCCATCTGGTCCGGCTGCTTTTCCAGCTTTCAGAAGCTTGATTGCATTCAAGACTTCAGCTCTCGTTGGAGGATTGGTGTCAACTTGCAGTTGTGTGCGCGTTGTTGTTGGTATTTCTGGACGGGTTGCAGGTGATGGTCGGTTCAAGAGTCCTTTGAAGTGATCCGCCCATTGTTTAATCTGTTTTTCTTCCTTGGTAATTGGGTTCCCTTGGCTGTCTTTTATAGGTTTCGCTTGTGTTGGTCTCTTCCCGGATAGAGATTTGGTTATCTGATATAGTGTCCTCAGGTCCCTTTTGCCTGCTGCCTTCTCAGCTTCAGTGGCGAGTTGTCGTAGAATCGTCTTTTGTCCTTCCTAGCACTCTTCTTCACTTCTTTGTCCAGTGCTTTGTAAGTTGAGCTCAGCGTCTCCTTCTCCTGTCCGTCCTTGCATTGAATCATTTTCTCTTTCACCATTCTCCTCTCTTCTATTAATTTCCAAGTGTCCGTTGAGAGCCATTCCTTGTCTTGTCTCTTCTTTCTTCCTAGAACCGTTGAACACGTTTCGTTGAGAATCGCCTTCAGAGACTTCCAATGTTCTTCCACGCATGATTCTTCAGTGATGTCGCGTAGTGTTTCCTGCTTTGCTCTGACAGTTGCAGTGAAGTGTCTTTTGTGGTTGTGTCCTTCAGTAATTGAGTGTTGAACTTGCATTGTGGCCTATCCCCAGCTATCCTCGAGGCTTTTAGTTTCACCTTGAAAGTCCCTTGTACTAGATAGTGGTCTGAACCCACATCTGCTCCTCTCCTTGACCTTGTGTCCAGTAGGCTCCGTCTCCACTTTCTTGAAATTGAGATGAAGTCTATTTGGTTCTTGGTGTTTCCATCTGGTGAAATCCATGTCGTCTTGTGTATATCCTTGTGTTTGAACACACTACCACCAATCACCAAATCATTGAAGGCGCAGAAGTCTGAGAAGAGTTCACCATTGTCGTTCATTTCACCGAGGGCCTCACGACCCATGGTGAGTTCTCTTCCTGTGTTGTCTCCTCCCAGCTTCGCATTCATGTCGCCCATCAGGATTTTGAGACGTTGTCCATTATTGCTTGTAGTTGTCTGTAGAACGCCTCCTTCTTCTCTTGTTCTGAGACGTTTGTAGGCGCGCATCATTGAATGACTGTAACTTTCCTTCCTTTTGAGTTGAACCTGGCTGTCATTATCCTGGAGGAGATTGGTTCCCACTGCATGAGAGCTTTGGTTGCTGTTGGTGACATCATGATGGCCACTCCCTCGGTGTGCTCATGGTTGTCCTCTGGGTGGCCGGAAAGATTACTGTCTCTCCAGTAGGTAGTTGGCACCTTCCAGTTCCGTTCCATCTGCTTTCGCAGATTCCCAACACTTCTATTCTGTACCTTCTCATTTCAGCGGCTATCTGGGCAGCCTTTCCAGTTTCGTACATTGTACGAACATTCCAGGTACCCATCCTTACTTTTGCTTTCATCGAAAGAAGGCACATCGGCTGACTGGCTTCCCGAAGGCTTTCACCAGCCTGCGTCATTTCACTTCCCCGATTCCAGCGAAAAGTAAGGCTATTGCTTATGTTTTTAGAATTTTTAATATATTTATTCGTTGAAGTTTCTGTAGCGATTTGGTTGTTTTACAGGGGTGGAGTTGCTAGCACCACGCCCCAACCCTCCCTCTTTACCCGGGCTTGGGACCGGCTAGAAAACTAGTAAGCTAGTAGCCTAGCAAGCTAGTATCTGGCGAGGTTTATATACATATATTTATATATATAACAAGCACTAGTTACCATCAAGGGGAGAGGTTACTTCCATCACTTATCTAGGAAGCACGGTTTCAACCGGATTAAGATATCAAAGCAGGGCAGAATCAGACATGCAAGTTACACCCTCATCAACCTGAAACCAGTTTGGAAATCGTCTGCACTAAGTCAGTCAGCATAAACGTCAAGATTCGGATTATCAACACAAACGTGAAGTCATTCAATTCTTTTATACGGGTCAGAGACTTACACTGCGCGTCACGAAAAGGATTTCCAACAAGTTACAGACTTTTATCAACAGCTGCCCTTTTAGCTGGCTTCAAACTGAAGATCAAATGGCCAGTCGTTTGGCCAGAAAGAATTAGCAATAAGAAAATCTGGCTGGCTGGGAACAAACCAACAGGCGAGAGCCTATCACTCAACAAATATGTAGGATAAAATGAGAACTCATGGATCAAGCATGCGTTGAGAAGGCCGTCGAATGACGTCATGCGCAATGCAGGCCATTGCTCAAGTGGAATCCAAATGGTAAGCGATGAATATGTCGTAAGTGTGAGGTTGACCTGGAGGAGATAAGAGATTATGGTCAATTGTTGAATCAACTAAAGAGGGCAGCACCAAACAGAACAAAGTGAAGATGTATTGTTGAAACCCTAATTTCCATTCGGGACCCACGGGAATTATATATATATATATATATATTTTATAAAAACAAAAACTGAGATCAGCTCACTTGTAGAAAGTATTCAGCAAGTTGAGATAATATCTTAAGTGAATCATTTTCATTACCTATGAAATACATTAATTCACCAATAATCCATATAACTGATTCCAGATTATTTTCCCCGGGTAATTCTGTAATTTCATGAAGGAATTTTGAAAAGACATTTACGTGAAGTAGAGAATATTCTGCAATGTTTTCTGTATGAAGACAATATATATATATATATATATATATATATATATATATATATATATAGAAGGTCAAAGTTAGTTAGCTTAGTTATACGCACTAGTGAGCTCAACTCACTAAGCAAGTTTTCGAATTGATGAGCTTTGACCTTTTTGAGTTGCCATGTTGACACTGTCTATTAGATTTTTCTATTTTCTGTCTTCTCTCACCCCCTCCCTCTTTTTGGTCTTTCATATTTTGATAGTATTTAAATTGATGGTGATTGACTTAGATTATGATACTTATATTCCACATGCCATCACCTTATAATGTCTTCTCTATTACCTTTCAAACAATGAAGTATGAAATGTTATTATTTATAACCATTATAATTTCAGGTAGTTTGCAGTTGGCTGATGAGAATCTGTGAAATAGAATGATGACATCATTTTATACTGCAAATCTGTTCTTTCTTTCTCTACCACAATGACGGTAAGTTAATAATAATAATAATACTGCGTTAAATGTTTTGAACATCAGTAATAACGATGATTATAATGATTAATTACTATAATTAATTTTTAGATGTCTTAATCAGGAGAACCAACACAGGAAATTTAGAAACACAAGTATATAGAAAATCAACGCACACAGATCAAATACTCAACTATACTAGCGATAATCCAATTACTCACAAAAGAAACTGTGTGCAGACATTATTCAAAAGTATTCAAACACACTGTAACACGCCAGAGTTGAAAAGAATGGAAGAAAAATACCTACAAATGGTCTTCAAGAATAATGGTTATCCACAAAATTTCATCAAAAGTGTTTAAATTTGAATCACAACACCAATAAGGAACCATTATCAAAGACCACAAGAAAATTCATCCTACCATACATGAGAAATATCTCTGAAATAACAGCTAGAATAATGAAACTGTCTGATATAGATGTAGCACACAAGCCAGTCAGATCACTGCATTCGATATTGTGCAAACCAAAAGATCCAACAGAAAAAGGAGATAAAATTAATACCATTTACAAAATAAATTGTATGAGCTGTAACAAGCATTATATCGGCCAAAGTGGGCATCCCCTTCGAATCAGAATCTAGGAACACAAATCAGCTGCGAAAAGACACGATATATATTCCCATTTCATATCAATGCATATAGACAATTATGGACATCAATTTGATTGGGATAATGTCAAAATCTTAGATAGAGGAAAAAGTGCACTCAGGGGATTCCTAGAAGCCTGGTTCTCAAACGAATCAACTAGTGATTAACAAATACGTTGATATAGACCAAATATACCGGCTAATAAAAAGTAAATCATGTGACGAGAAAGTTTCAAATCCAAGTCAATAGAAAATGATCAACACATATGTAAAGATGGTTACCGGGAGACGCAATTATTTCACTCATGGAAAAAAATTTCAATCATTTCACTTTATGCAAAATATTGCGCTGAAGGGAGATGTTGTCCCGCGGGGGGGACGACGAAAGCTCCGCAACTAAACCAACTAGCTCAGAGAACACTATTAATTGCAAATCATCATCCATTACAAATCTTCTCTATTATTTCAAGATAATAAGGTTTATTTAGGTGGCGATGAGAATAACGAAGGTAGTAAAATGTGTGTGTATATGTAGACAATTCAGTAAATAAATTAGGTCAACTCTTAAAAGTTACCTAATATTAAAGGTGAGTGGTTAGACAATCAGAGTTCAAATAAATATCATTAAAACAACACGAAGGAAGGAAATGGAAAATAAGAAATGGTGGGTGGTGCTTTTTAATTAGACCTTACATAGCTGAAGGGAAAGACAAAGTTAGAACAAACTTCTTTTGTACATAAAGACTGGGATTATTCCTCTAGAATTGATTCCCATAGCTTGCTTCTTCAATTATGTATAAAAGGCGTGTTCAAAGGTTCAATGGAATGCGGTAGATTTCTTTGAAGGCATTTTTTCTATCCACTTGGTGACCACTGTCATCAATCAAATCAGTTAAAATAGAACTTGTATTTGGCCTTTTTCCAAACTATGAAGGAAAAGATGCTCGTTAATACGTTAGTTGAGCTGTCTAGTTGTGGACACTATGTAAAGCTTTGTTAATTAGAGTAAAGCCTGAAGAAGATCTCATTGAGAACAGTACTGTTCCCTTGTATATATCTTGTTCTATTAATAATAATGTGAATATTTAAAGATATAATTTACTTTAAAAGCGCGGAATTCTTTATATCACTAATTCTACATCCATTTCTATATGTTACACAACCTAGTGGAAATTGAGCGGCTGAGAGTTCTACCAGTATATATATATATATATATATATATATATATATCATGTTATTTCACATCACTTTGGATAAATAGAAGACCACATTTCAACTAAACAATTATTATTGTTATTGTTCCCTTGGGTTCCTAGTGGAACATAGGACTTCAACTGCACGTCTCCACTTGCCACTTCTGTCTTCCTTCTGCTGCACTTTTCACCTCCATCCATGTTAGTCCATACTCTTTCAACTCAACATGCTATTTCACACGATCTCCTCCATGTCACTCTTGCACTGACGTCCCACTAGCCGCTTCCCTTTCGGCCTGGTTCCACTCGAGCGATGGCCTGACGCGCGCGTGATGTCACCCAGCGGCCTCCTCAGCCGTGAGTGTCCAATCCATCTCCATCCACTTTCTCCTGCATATTTGTTGAGCGATTGGTTGGTTCTTGTTTTGTTTGTTCTCAGTTTCTCGTTGGTGATTCTTTTCGGACCGGCCATCTGATCTTCAGTATAGATCCAGCGAAGACAGTTGTTGTTTATAAAGGTCTGATCTGTAATAGTTTGTTGGAAATATTCTTTGTGACCCGCCCGCCAAGTTTCTGATCCGTATAGAAGAACTGACTCACTTGACGTTTGTATTGAGAATCCGACTGAATTTTGTTGTTGATGCTGCTGAGTGACGAAGGTTTCCAGACATCAACAAAGCAATAATCAATCATAAATGACCACCATAGAAAAGTAGTGAAAAGCAAACAATCTTATGAGAACCTCTTAATTTATAGCTTAGGAGACTTTTGATGATTTACAGGACTGAAGGGAAGATGACTAAGTAATAAATAAAATAACAGAAATGAAGTAACAGAAATAGAAGATTTCTAATTAAGTTATATGCGTCGATGGCACAGCGGTTAGGACGCTCGCTGACCATGCACATGGTCCAGGCTAGCAACGCCATCCTGTAAAAATAAACACTGCTACAAAAACTTCAAGCCACTAGCTTGAGGTTCTATGTTCCACTGGGAACGTGAAGGAAAAAAAATTGGATAATATGCACTGGATTCAATATGGATTCATATGGAAATAAATTTAACAGTCCAATACTTCCAATAACACTAGTTTCTTTGAAAACTAACCATAAAGTTGAACAGAATTACTGTACATATTTGGTGCAGCATCCTATATAGAAAAAGATATTAAGAAAAAAAAGAAAAGGGATATGAAAGTAAAGAGACGTTTAAAGGTATTTACAATGGGTAATATTATGAATAAAATCAAAATCTCTTTTCGCACAATATAAAAAATTCCTCTGAATCCTTTTACTCTGATTAAGGTCATGATAATTCGTTAGTAGTCAGCCAATCTCGGCTTATTGCCAGCAACACAGAATCTAGTGGCTGATTTTTGACATGGTGCTTTGCGCAGAAGGTTCACAGTTCAAACTGACACACACTCTATGTGGAATACAAAGATAAAGAAAAGATAGAATAATGCACAGAAATGTACGGAGACAGAATAAATAATTACATGAAGTAATTTCAGAAACCTAATGGATCTGAGATATGCGTCGGTGATAATGATTTTGAGCTCTATCATCAATATTCTCAAGCCGCCACTGTTCTTTAGACTACCGAGAACAACAACCAGGCTGTCTATGCCATCCCACTTGGATAAAACCAAATGTCAAGAACATCATGGATTTCATGCATTTATTCCCTTGATGAACTTGAATAAAGCAAGAACAACAGTGGTTTATGCAGAATAATATGGTACCGTCATTTATTTCGTTGGCTTCTCATCGGTTGCCACTTACAGCCTAATTAAATTATGAGGTTTACGTACACAAAAGTTTTAACATAATTGCAAATTTTACATGTTGTCAGTTGATGGAAAGTTCCACAATTGGTAAACAGTGCCCAGAAAATTGCGCTTATATAGTTTTTACACAGGCAGTTCAAGTTTAAACAAAATAAATGTATGCATATTTATTCATAAAGGCTCAAATACCAAACAAATCACAGTTGAAAAAAACCTGTCTTCATTCAACTAGATTTTAAAGGTAAAATCATTGCAGAAATGGTCAACAGAAGACTGAGAACGTCACTAGCCAGTGCCTATCTTGCAGCTAAGTTGGTTCCCGTTTCTCTTACAACTTGCTCTTTGGTGCAATCAAAAATCGATAGGTACCCTTCTCATGTTAACTCCGACTGTGTATACAAATTTACGTGTATCTACGGGAGCAGATACATTGGGAGAACAGAAAGAAGGACAGACCTCCGATTTACTTAACATGTGACGAAAAGCCTACATCTCAAGTTAACAAGCTCTCCTCGATACTGGTCATGAGGTGGAAATCGCGAAACCCTTTAAAATTACCAATAGAAAAGGGAGTTCGATTCTCCTCAAGTTTGCCGAAGCAATTTCTATCAGACGCTTGAAACCAGATTTATGTGTCCTTAAAAAAGTAGTTATGAGTCTTTCCTTGCCAACCTGGTAACTGGATTTCTTTATTCTTTCTTTCATTTACTTGCGTAATCTTCGGCTTTAACCTCACCCCTTTGACATAGTGTAATTTTACTTGTCTCTTGTTTATATGATTTGAGTTGAACTTGTTCTTGCTTTACTCAAATACATCACAGATTTATGATGACAGGTTTTTATTTGACCACTACGAACACTTTTTCAACCTAGTCTTATGTCAGCTAACATTTCCTGTCGTAGGAGCTGATGGCTCGACATGTGGCCTTGACACATGGTCTACCCATCTCACATCCTCCTCATCGACTGATTTCTTCTCATCTTGAATTTTCACTCAACGCCACACCTAATTATTGATCACCATGTTATGCCACTCGGCACGTGAGACAGAACGCAAGCATATATGATCAAAGACAATTAGCCTTTTCATACCTTCCACTTTCAGTGGCTATGGTCTCACAGACTTAAAAGAGAATCGGGGAAAAACTGCTGTGTAGCATACACTTTCTTTGATCGATAGCTGGATATCACGTTTACAACAGAGATGAGATAATTTAGCAGGTGTTATACAAGCTTTTTTTATCTAGCCTGAGATTTCATCACAATCAATTGATAAGGGCTGATGCAACTTTCTAAATAAGTGAATTAGTCAGTAACTCAGCCAATTCATGCCCTATCTTTAAAATGGAAGTCAGTGCAGACCAGTATTGCATCATCATCCTGCATGTGACTGGGGGCGAATCCCAGATAATCAAATGACAGGATTTTGTCAGCGTCTTCACCTAGAAGGATGACATCACCCATATACTGTAATTCCACAAGATGGAATCGAATGCCATATTCAAGTCAAGAAAGATGGCAAGTGTTGGGAGCCAGTAGGTACGGCTATGTTCCAGAATTTGTCAAGGGGTGAAGATATCATCAAGAAACCCCCGCCTTGGCTTAAAGCCTTCCCTGTCTTCCTATGTGTGCTTCTTCCAAACAACTTTTAGTTTCCACGTTGTCACTGAGCCTTGAACTTTAGATACTATATTAGTGAAGCTAAGCCCCCTAGGATTATCACGGAAAACTCTGACAAATCTCTTAAAGAGTGTGATAATCAATGATTTACACCACACAAGTGGAACTACCTCTGACACATAGACGCTACCTAATACCACTAGTTAACCCAGAAAATAGTTTGTCAACAGCATCCTTTAACACCTCTAGAGTCATTCCACAAGGTTCTGTTGCTTTTCCCAGCTTCAGGTCGCAGAAATACATGTTAACCTCAGTTGCAACTGCAAGACAGATGTTGGACAAAACCTACTGCTAGTGTGGTGAGAGCTATCTGCTGGCTAAAATTGGTAGACAGCAATTTACGACAATGTTTACGTCTCAAATCTTCGTCAGGGGAAAAATATGAACAAAGATTAACCTTGAGGAACTCAACAACCAGTCACTGCAGACTTAGCGTGGGCGGATACGATTCGGAGATATATAAACGGACTGTCTAAGAAACGTCAACAAACAGATGACAGAATAACCCTCAGCAGGAAAACAACCAATCAGAAGACGTTGCTTCTCTGCTAACAATATCGAATAATAATGTACATAAAAATCTATTGATATCTGTTGATTTTTGAATAAACGATGTGTTGCCTGACCCTTATCTTCTATCACTATACTACTAATAATGCTACATGCCAGTTCCATTTGCCTAATATCGTACTTATGCGTCCAATAGAATAAAAGAAATGAATTGGTAACCGAATGAAGATATCCTTGAAAGATTGAGGAATTCTAAGAGATAAAAACAAGTAGGTAAGGACTAAGAGGTTCTGCTTTAGAACGAAAATGAAGTGTGGATAATTCTACCCCAATCATCATCAGTCAGGAATCATGTTATGTTAACCTCTTTGTGTTGTGCTTTTTGTGGTCAACTGAACCCTATTTATCGTATACTTGTTGCATTGGTATTCGTCTATAATTTTAACAACGTTATATAGTGTAAACTGTGTTGCCTGTTAGAAGCGTAATCTACGAGTTATTCATCCTAAGGCAGATTTGAAATGTTTGTATAAAACAGTGACATCTTTTATGTAAATAAAGATATAATTTACTTTCCTAAGATGATTTTGTTTAAACTTTTAGTCTCTCAGAAGCCCCTGTATTACTATCTATCACAAAAACGTTTATGCTGATTATCTAAATAGGAGATACAACAGCTGGAATCTATTCAATCCCATGTGAATTTTTACGTTCTTAATGATAACAATAATTTCTGTCTGTCTGTCTGTCGGTTTTTGACATAGAACTTTGCAGCGATGTCCAACAGTTAAAGTCGCCACACTCCCCACATATAGCACACAAACCAAGAGAAGAAAGTAGAAGAAATGCATAGTGGAGGCAGTAAACAGTGATGTGAGACAAAGGAATAGTAATAACGAAGAACGATAAAGTCTCATGGGAAATCATAAGTCCCGAGGAAATTAACTGGGAATTCTACACCTTCCTACGTGGCTGGCTAGCTTAAACTAACTGTTGCGGATTTCATTGACTAATGAAGCCATGTTTTGCTTTCACCGCCGTTAGCTCTTTTCCAGCCTGAACCTATATCTGCTAACATTGCCCACTGTCGAGGAAGGCGATGACTAGGCATACGTAACACATGTCCTAGCCATCTCAGTTGATGTAATTTTACAGCCTCGTCGATTGATTTCCCCTCCTGCCTACCTAGCACTCAACTAATGACTAACCTCAATATTGCTCACTTTATTATACCACTTCACACGGGACATAGAGCGCAGGCACCTATGATCAAAGACAGTTAGCTGGGCTTTTCATGTCTTCCACTCTCAATGGCCAGGTCTCACAGCCATAAGAGAGGAAGAAGCGAACTGATGAGCAGTATATATATATATATATATATATATATATATATATATATATATATATATAGAGAGAGAGAGAGAGAGAGAGCGCTATCAGTATGAAAAATAAGATCTTGACTTTCAGCCCCAGTGTGAAGTTATTGCTACTATACGGATCAGAGACTTGGAGCATCATGAAGAGCGCTTCGAACAAACTATAGACCTTCATCAACAGCCGTCTTAGGGCAATACTCAAGATCAGATGGCCAGCCGGAAGAGATCATCATCAAGGAGGGATCTCCGGGAGCAAACCAACCCATCATGAACCAACTGTGCAACGAATATTCAAGAAGTATTTGAAATGGATTGACCATACTCTGATAAAACAAACCATCAAGTGATATCACAAGCCAAGCTCTCTCTCGGGTGAAACCCGAAAGGAATGTGGCGAGTTGGTCATCAGTGTGAGGGTGGGATGACATGGAGGAGGTGATGTGAAGAGGAGATGGAATCATGTGGACAAATGTAGAGTCAGGTAAAAACGTTGGCATAGTAGTGAACGCAAAGGAGACGTTTAGCTGAAGCCCTATTTTCCTCTAGTAAGTAAAGGAAACAATATTAATAAATTATATAGAGAGCAACCGCCGGACAGTGTCATCGGCGAATAAATATTCCCTTACTTGGCTTAATGTCAACTCGTGATCAGAACTGTAACCAATAAAATTCATGATAAACAACACTTGAAAATTTCATTTTGTCTGACATTTCATTGTGTAGGGGTAACAGTATACAACAGATAAACCTTTTAATAGATCCGTGAAAGGAAATATCATCCCTCACAGAATAGCTCATTGAACTCTACATTCGCAAAGGCATATCTCGTACAATCTCAATAAAAAGCAGAATTCCGGCAAGCCGTTTGTTTTATTCCTTAATGTTCCCAGTGAAACATAAGGCTTCAAGCTAGAGGCTTGACCTTTCAGTACCAGTGGTGTTTATTTTTACGGGATGCGTTTGCTAGCCTCATGCCCAACCTTCCCCCTTTACCAATCTTATTACTGGCTTAGCGAGGTTTAAGAATGCGTCGGCCGAGGGTCGAACCCCGAACCACCCGCATGGTTCACGAGCATTCTATCGCTGTGGCGCTGACGCTCAAACTAGTGAGAGGCCTCTCGAGTGGTTGCACCACTCGAGGATGATAATGCATGTCGGTCTCGTCCCTCAAGAGGCAGGGATAAGTGTGTTCTGTTCTCCTGAAAACCAATACCCAGTAAATGGGTATACCCCTTCTTATTTATCAATAGCAATATGTGCTTAAGAAATCAACACAGATTATTTTGGACTGAAACCCCCCTGTGCCGACTGAATTTGAGGATGATTTGTGCTAATCTGGGAAAAAAACCAGGACAACTAGGATTTACAGTCAAATAATTTCTAATGTTGTCTGACAGCCATACTTCTAAACTGACGTATATATCTTCTTGAATACTTAAGCCTAGAACGTTAAATGGATTATGATCAGTGGATCCATCTATTGACGTAAGGATTAGAAGATGGACGAATAATAAGTTATCAGTGCTACATTCATCACATAACTTCGTTCATTTTGTATTTCTAAAATGAAATTCAACAGACCAGGTGATTAGGATAAATTGAGAAGAAGCTCTGAACTTAGGTTTAATGCTCATTGGTGCTTATCAGTCTAGTTCTATCTTCCGACCTTACATGATCATCTCATATCATACCGATTTCTAAGAAGTTGTTCCGTCTAACCTACTACATTAGGAAACTCGGACTATCTGGAATCACCCAACCTCTACTTTCACAATTTGTCAACTCTCGTATCTTACCTATTCTACTTTACTGCTCTCCATCAGTCTTATCTGTGCTACTGAAAAAGGACTATACCATCCTGAGAAGGATGTTGAAGGTAGTTAGTAGGACTAGTGGTGTAAAACTCAGTCTCGTCAGTTCGTCACTACATTAGTAGATAAGCATCTGATAACATGCGAAAATTGGTCTAAAATCATACTCTCCGAACCCCAACACCCCCTCTATTCCCAACTCTCCTTGCATCTCATCAGGTAGAAACAGAAATCAGTACAAAATAATATATGCTCGTACAACCAAGTACATGAACTCAACGATACCATATTTGGCCCGTGTTCTAAGTGACAGAGACAATGTGAGGCGCGAAACCTATGACTTCCTTTGTTGTTAGTAACATAATTTTGGCTCTTTTATTTCTCCCTTACTCTCTTATTTGTATTCTATGGTAAATACTTTCTTAAACACACTTGGCTACCTAAATATTAACACTAACTTACTATTTCTTGTACTTTACTCTATTCCCTCTTTTGTGTATCTACTGGTTCCGACTATGAGTATTACAAAATTGTCCTGTCATTAACCTTCATGTAATATAAGTTTTGTGATCGTTTTTTTTGTTCGGCAATATTAACTGACAATCTTGGTTGCGACTGCCGTTATTACCATCCTCAAAATTTTGTATTATGCAGGATTACCCACACTACCACTACAAACACCGCATTAGAGCTGACAATAAAAAAAAACCTGAAATGTTTATTTTATGATTGTTTTAATGTTGTTCGATCAACTTAAATGATCTTCTTGGCGATAAACATTCTTGAATATCATTTCATAACTTCTAGTATGACTATAGCTTTACAGTCACCACGTATAAACATTTCATAGCTTCCACTACCTAATACTGAGATATTATTTATTATGTTGTTTATTTTCCATCCTACTTCTTGGTATTTTTTTCCGCATTTTTTATTATTTATGTGTTTTTTCTTGTTTTTTTAATATAGTTTTTTTGAAAATACTCCTTTTAAATTTCTGATAAAATTAGATGCAATATTGTAGATATGTGCTGAAAATTCCACACTGTACCACTAATACTGTTTCTGCAACGAAGCAAATTATTATCATTATTATTATCGGAATACGAATCCTCATCGTCCACTGTTGAAGTCAGAGAGACACCCTAGAGTTGAGTTATCCGAACTCGGTGTTTCAATACATTCTCTTTTTAATTCATGAAATAAAATACAAATATGCATGTATATATTTGTATCATAACTTACGGTATTTTCTTTGGCGTTATCTTTATACTGCAAATAATAAAAGGCAGATTGAGCTAATACATTCAGTTTACTTGTATTTCCACTCATATTACTGTTATTAATATTAGTATTATCTGTAGCAGTAGTAGTAGTAGTAGATTTAATTGTAGGTGTTGTTGTCGTTACTGAATTAGTAATATCAGTAGTATCATTATATGATGGTGATAATGATGATGATAATAGTATAGAGTCAGTATTCTCATTCGACTTTTTATGAATCAACTGTAATGAATGTTGAATAAATTGCCAAAATCTAACTAACAGGTGGGCATTTAGAATAGAACCAGTAAATATCTCAGTTTCATATGCTGGAAAAGCATAACACAGAAGAAACCTAAAAGAAAAGCGACAAAATCGCAGAGAGTAAATAAATATATTAGTATATATTCAATTATTACTACTATTATTCAAAAGAGTTTCTACACACACACACACACATTAGAGCTTTTTTATCTTTCTGGACGAAATTAGGTGGGTGTATTGCTCAGCAGTCTGCTGCGTCCTCCTTTATGGCTGGGAAACCTGGCCATTGAGAGTGGAAGACATGAAAAGATTGGCTGACTTTTATCATAGTTCCCTGCGCTGTATCTTCCATGTCAAGTGGTATAATAAGGTGAGCAGTATTCAGGTTAGGCGTCAGTCGAGTGCTAGGTAAGGAGAAGAAATCAATCGACGAGGCTATGAAATCACACCGACTGAGATGGTTGGGACATGTGTTACGTATGCCTAGTCATCGCCTTCCTCGACAGTGGGCAATGTTAGCAGATATAGGGTCAGACTAGAAAAGAGCTAGCACATTATGGTCAGACGAAAACATGGCAGCAGTCAATGAAATCCGCAACAGGTAGTTTAAGCTAGCCAGCCAGCCACGTAGGAAGGTGTAGACTTCCTGGCTGGTTGAGGTCCCCGGGACGGCAAACACAAATGATGGCTGGAAACAATTGGTGATATGGCGAAAAGTGATCGTTCTCAATGGCTGGCGCAGATGCATCCACTCCTTGTGACTTACGATTTCCAATGAAACTATATTGTTCTTCGTTATTACTATTCCTTCGTCTCACACCTCTGTTTACTGTCTCTATTATGCATTTCTTCTACTTTCTTCTCTTGCTTTGTGCGCTAAATTGAGGGAGTGTGGCGACTTGAACTGCAGTATATCGGTGAAAATTTCTATGTCGAAAACAAACAAACAGACAGACAGAGCATAGCTGAGGTAGCTGCCTTAAGAAACTTTCAACTCAATGGGTGTACAGAAAAAGATTATTTTTCATTCGTCTTCCTTCCATAGATTTCAACCACAATGTAGAGTAGTTATCTCTCATGATAATATCGCATAACTGCAAATCCTATTTTTATTTGTACTGCTAACTTTATTAATAATATCATAGTGTGCTATGATTTCATATTCTATTTTTGCTCTACTTACATTCTCATTGACTATACTTGATTCTATTTATCCACATTGTCCCCAATGTCTACGACTAACTTTTCATTACGTGATTGTAAGGTTGATTATTATTTGGGGTACGCCGTAGTACTTCTATACGGATCAGAAACTTGGCGGGCGGGTCACAAAGAATATTTCCAACAGGCTATTACAGATCAGACCTTTATCAACAACAACTGTCTTCGCTGGATCTATACTGAAGATCAGATGGCCGGTCCGAAAAGAATCACCAACGAGAAACTGAGAACAAACAAAACAAGAACCAACCAATCGCTCAACAAATATGCAGGAGAAAGTGGATGGAGATGGATTGGACACTCACGGCTGAGGAGGCCGCTGGGTGACATCACGCGCGCGTCAGGCCATCGCTCGAGTGGAACCAGGCCGAAAGGGAAGCGGCTAGTGGGACGTCAGTGCAAGAGTGACATGGAGGAGATCGTGTGAAATAGCATGTTGAGTTGAAAGAGTATGGACTAACATGGATGGAGGTGAAAAGTGCAGCAGAAGGAAGACAGAAGTGGCAAGTGGAGACGTGCAGTTGAAGCCCTATGTTCCACTAGGAACAATAATAATACTAAAGCCTATTTAGAATTTGTCGAAAATGCATATTTGCTTGTTTACATTGTGTTCTGTAATCATCATAATGAGAATATTTAAATTAATATCTAGAAAATCATCAAGAAGCTCTGCTTTACAACCGTGAGGTAGTCACCAAAAGTAGTAAATGCAATGTGGAAAAACCAAAAACACTCTTTTTTATCTTAGGTGTCAAATGAAGTAATAAGATTATTAGCAATGCGGTCATACATGAAGTAACAGACAACGAGAATAAGTCTATCAATGAGGTTATGAATGTATGCGTTGAACGGCATAGGTAAGACATGTGTTACGTGTGCTCATATACTACCACCCACCTCGACATACAATCCTAGCTTTTATAGGATATCAAGTTAACACTCTGACAGTTATTAGTTTAGTCAATGGAGTAGAAGCAGATGAATGAATACTTCAATGGCCGCCATCACAAGCTGTATTATTAATCTTAGTGGCAATCGGAATTTAATTCCTATTTCATTCATTCACTCCAATAATTAATATAACCAATCTTGATAAAATAACAATTTTCACCAATTAGTTTGTAGGAATTATATTCGCTTCAGGTTAGACCACGGATTATGGTCTATGTTAACATGTTTGTTAATTACATATTCATTTGAGTACCAGGCTTCTAGGAATTCCCTGAATGCACTTCTGCTGTTTTCTCTTTCTAAGATTTTGACATTATTCCAATCAAACTGATATCCACAATTGTCTATATGCATTGATATGAAATGAGAATATATATCATGTCTTTTCACAGCTGATTTGTGTTCCTAGATTCTGATTCGAAGGGAACACCCACTTTGGCCGATGTAATGCCTGTTACAGTTCATACAATTTATTTTATTTAATAATTTAACACTGAAGAGTAAAATGCATTGAAGAAACTAAAGAATAGAAAAGAGATATAGTTATTCTACCTGCTGATAAATGAAGGAGAACAACAGTAATCCAGGACACAGAAGACTACATAAAGAAAGCAGAGGATTTACTCATCAAAGATAATAATGTATATCAACAGTTGACGAAAATCTCAAAACAAACATTAGATAACAAAATCAAAACAACGTTAAATAAACTAACGAAATCAGGACTAATTACAGAACAAGATCAATGGCGAATGAAATCTAACGGACCTATTTTACATCGATTCAATGGTAGACCAAAACCACACAAACTACACAAACATTTCCTAACGATCAATTGTTTCGCTTCCGCAACTAAACCAACCAGCTCAGAGAACACTAATTAATCGACACCAATTTGTAGGCCAACCTGAAAATAATTCATTTCTACTTACCATGGATGAAGCAGAATATATTCTATGTTATTCAATAGTATTTTAACACCAATTAAATGATTCACTTTAGATAACATTTCAATTTGTGTACTGATTAATCGTGATATAAAGAGGTGCGTTAAACTACGATTCGATAATTGTCTAATAAGCTTGTTCAATACTTCAACTGATAAAATCAAATGACGAGTGTTGGAACGATAAACACTTATAGATTGATTTTTTGAATTCATACTTGACAATAGCTCATTGGATTTGAGTAAAATTTGAAAGATATCAGGTATCATGTGTAAAGTAGGCTTAAATGTTGAAACTACACGTTCGCGTATAACTTGTACTAACATAGGATGCTTATTGTCGTTAACAGCATCATCATGATCATAGTCATTGTTATTAATCCTTAGACTGGTAGATTTCTTTTCATTACTCCCATATAATTCAGTATTACCAGATTCTGTTAGCGAAAGAATAGCTTGAATTTTATGTCCAATTTTTTGAAAAGTGATCTTAGGCTTTGATTTGTATAGATTATCTTCAATCAGTGAGAGTGAATGTGATGAAAGAGATTGACTAGATGTAGGCAATGCCTTTTCTGGATAATTTTTCATCAATATACTTGATAAGGTATTATCAGTCGTATCAGTAGTATCTTTACACCATTTATATGCTGTAGTAGGCAGTGGAAGTTGAACACCAGTAGCACTGTTATCACCTAAAATAAATCAGTAACAAAGATATTATTTTAAAACAACTGATTGATGTGAGTTAAGGAACAAGAAAGTTTACATATTCGATTACCAAGAGAGGTTTAAAGCAATAAGAAATAACTTATGGACACATAGGACAGGTTTAAGCATTTTTTTATGGCTAAGGTTTTACGAGATTTAAGTATGTGACCAAAGCTTGTTTAATATATGGACTTAAATACGTCATTGAAACCAATGATTTCTCTTTGATGTCCTTCGCCATAAATGATATCGGACATCTGTTTCCAGGAAAAAAATGTATCCGGTGATTTTACTTGTTATGTCAGTCATATGGAATATATTCTGTAGCCCTAACCTTCAGAGACCTATCGGTTTACCCCATGTGCGTGTGTCCACGCACACATGTAAAATGGTAAACACAGAGGGATGTGGCACTATCGTTTGGATGCTGTGAGTAGGAGTTTTACAAGACAGCATAGATCACGTTTTCTTTATGAGCATAAGTTAGGCTGCCACGCTGAGTCTTTGTTTAGTGATCAGACTTTGTTCATCACCCTTGAATGGCAAGGCTATATAAACATACTTTTCGAAAGCTGACTGGATCAGTAGGGCTCTATGTTTGATACTCATGTAACACTTAATACACTTCAACGGATAGTTGTTATTCGATAATATTTATGTAAGGTGTTCTGTTTCTTCGTCAATGATGTTGGCTGTACGTATACGATTAATGTGTCTGGGCAGGCACTTAATCGAAGCGTTTTTATACTGTAGTGTACAGATACACAGGTTATTGAATTCGAATCTACTGGTGGAACGGTAACCTATTCAAGTGAACACCTGTTGATCCTGTGTGTTATCCTTCGAATGACTGTCAATGATTTTAGTTTGAGGATTTCAAAACTAGAAAGAAACAGTTATCCAGCAGTGTTCAAGCAGTGTACTTTTCACCAGTTCCCTGGACGTCTCTTTGTTTGTGACAGTGACTGCAATGTAACGTCACAGAATTTGAAGTCACTATTCATTCATTACAAGAGAATAGAATAAATAAATTCTTTTTAACTGATTAAAAATGCCCATTAAAAGTTTCAAAAGAATTGTTACTGAACAAAGAATACTCTTTTCGATAACCTGCTCTACATCAGGCTCTACAGTTGTATATGCATTATAGTGAATGAATGATTTACAATTAATAGTGTTCTCTGAGCTGGTTGGTTTAGTTGCGGAGTTTTCGTCGTCTTTCTGGACGACATCTTCAGTGCAGTATTTAGGATAAAGTGAAATGATTCAAAATTCTTCATGAATGAATGAGTTAGTGTTATGAACAACATTAATGTTGTTTAAATAACATCGAATCAATAGTAATAATATCAATGAATTACAGTTCAATAGCATCAACATAACAATAAAATGAATGTCAGAAAAATTAGGAAAGTTAACAATAATGCGAATTCACGAATTTATAGTCTCCACTGAAGGCCCGCCAGGGCAGTAGTTATGGCTGGCTGAACTTGCTTCTTCTGCATACAAAGCACTGGTTGTTTTACGCAAATCACGATGGCCTCTGCTGTTTGGAGCATGCGGTGCTTCGATGATTTTGGCAATTTATTTGGCACCACGTAGATAATGATAGAGAAGGATTCTTCAACACTGGCTGACTTTGTGGTTGGTTTCGACCAGATAGTCTAATATCGAAATGTTGATGATTTTGCTACACTGTGGCTAAGTAAAAGTGTAGTAAAAACCATCAACAGTTGGACATGAGACCATCTGGTCGAAACCGACCACAAAGCCAGCAGTATCTGTCGGATCACTTATATTGTAACAACAGAAGACAAGGGCTGGCAACAGATGGTTTTATTACGAAAATCAACACGTATTTATATATATTTTATGTACATTAATAAGGCTTATGCAAGCAGAAAAAGGCAGTCTTCTGATGGGTTGTTTCACGGAAGTTAAGCAGACAAACAGTCTTATGATTGGTTGTTTCACGGAAGTTAAGCAGACAAACAGTCTTATGATTGGTTGTTTTCGATATTTCTCGGAAAGTAGAGCCATCTATCTGCGAATCATACTTGTCCACGTTTAAGTTTGCTGTGATTGGTTGTTGAAACAGCCTTGTTCATATTTTCTCACGGCCCATATTAGTGACCTAGACATTAACGTAGATTAGTGTCAACCAATCGGCTAGCAGCCTGCTCTCACCACAGTATCACTTAACACCATCTCATGTTAGTGTTAACTGCCAGTAACAAAGATAGATCACTTCGGTCCAATCAATCGACGGGAAAATCAAAAATTCAATTAATAATAGATCACTGAATATTTAGCATTCCCTTCAAAAAACGTAAATGTAAATTAACAAAAATAGTTTTTTTGAATTGTCTCGCACTCCCCATTGACCACTTCATGTTAGACAGAGATACTTCGTCTCTGTCGATATCTGGGGTCACAGTGAGGACGCTTAAACAATGGTCACTAACATTTCAATCTCCCTCTGAGTGGAGAGTGTTTGGCGTCTGAAAGAACGGGTGATGGGTTCGCATCTCAGAGAGAACAGCGTCAATTACTGAAGAAAAACACGTGCATCCAGCCAACAATTCACCAGTAGAAAGAAATGGATATCATTGACTTCACTGTTAACCATCAAATTCAAGTCAATCATTTTATACGGTATATAACCAAATATTTGATGCGGTTGTGTTCTCTGAGCTAGTTGGATGGTTTATTTGAGAAGCTTTCATTACCCTACTAGGTATCATCTTCAGCGCATACTGTAATTTGAAGTGAGTGTTTTTGATTTCTCCACGAGTGTATTAGTCATCTCTCCTAGTGGGTAACCTTGAACGTGATTGGTTGTTTCTGTGTATGTTTTCACACTCTCTAGGTTACTTGTATTGGTGTTGGTGTTGATTGTTACCTTGACTTGAACTTTTACCTTTTGTGTGTGATGTTTCCTTGTCATCGGTTAATAAATTTTGTTTATCTCTATATGTCTCTATTGATTGACCACTCACTGGAATACTGGGCTTCTAAAAATTCCAGAAGAGTTGACTGATAAACTCGTGGACAATTGTGAAGGGTCACTTCAAACTGAAGTATGTGCCGAAGATGTTACCTAGTAAGGCAATGAAAGCTTCGTAAATAATCTGTCCAGATCAGAGAACAGGACTACATCAAAATCATTCCCCTGAGCTGCAAATCTTCACCATCATATAACCAAATTGTAATAGTATAGTAATAAGAATCGAAGTAGGTAACTAATCCGAATGCCATTGTTTCAGATCTTGATGACTTGACGCAGTTTTTAACCTCACTATCAACACAGTCACCTATTACGTTAAGAAAATAATTGTAACACTGGAACACTATGTTCATAGTTCCTTGAAAAGCATTGACTTACGTGCAAGCATTTGTCGCATCACTGAATGTATTATATCATGATTAAATTTCAGATAGCCATGAAGATTAGTTGAACGCAAGATTGCACCCCCTGTTTTCGATGAAAAAACACCAGCACGGTGAAAAAGACGTAAACAATAAAAGCCTATCAGAGGTGATTGTAAAGCTAATACTGTCGACGGTAGGATACACTGATTGACCCATGTCTCAGATAAATGGATATGATTTAGAATATATAAAATATCTTGAAATTTGAAACCATACAATTCATCTTCACATGAATATAAATCTTCTTTAGACCAGGTAAATTTAGAAGCAGCTAATATTGTATGGAATACAATTCCAACCCAACCAATAGTCCAATCTAAAATAAAGATTCATACAATAAAGATTGATGACAGTAATAACAAGAATTTTAATTACTGTGACATACAGAATTTCAAACCAATGGATCTACATAAAAATGATAATTTAGAAACTGAGGAAATGAGTATATAAGTTCATTCCTTTATATAGCTCTGTAGCAACCGAAGACTGACGTTCTATAGGCAAAATGTAGGAGGGAAAACTTTGCCTTCTGCTGTATAGCTAAATGAAACTTCGCATGACAAATGCACACTCCTCGAATGCCCCCAAAGACAGTTAGAAAGACATTTAGTTATCTACGATAGGTGGTACTATTCTTAACATATCGAAAACGAAAAATTACCTTAACTTTGCTGTTAGACAGATACAATGATTTCAAAGGTACAAAACAAGTACTATACAACAGAATTATTATTTAACCAAAAATCAACTGTAAGATGTATCTGAGGATCAAGTCTGTTTGTCCGTCTGTTTGTTTCGACGTAGAACTTTGCACCGATGTGTGCAGCAGTTCGAGTCGCCACACTCCTTCCGTGTAGCGCACAAAGCAAGAGAAGAAAGTAGAAGAAATGCAGAATAGAGACAGTAAACAGAGGTGTGAGACGAAGGAATAGTAATAACGAAGAACAATATAGTTTCATTTGAAATCATAAATCACAAGGAGTGGGTGCATCTTCGTCAGCCATTGAAAACGATCGCTTTGAGCCATATTACCAATTGTCTCCATCCGTCATTGGTTTTTACCATCCCTAGGACCCCAACCAGTCAGGAAGTCTACACCTTCCTACGTGGCTAGCTTAAACTAACTGCTGACGTAGTACATGTCCTAACCATATCAGTAGATGCATTTCAAAGCCTCGTCGATTGATTTCCCCTCCCACCTACCTAGCACTCGACTGACGTCTAACCTGAATACTGCTCACCTTATTATACCACTTGACATGGGAGATACAGCGCAGGCACCTGTGACCAAAGACAGCTAATCAGGCGTTTCATGTCTTCCACTCTCAATGGCGAGGTCTCGCTCACAGCCGTGAAGGAGGACAGAGCGGACTGATGAGCAGTACACACGTCCTTTGGTTGAGAGATGGAGATCACGACTTCTCCAGAGACGGTGTAAACTGGCATATGCGAAACTAGCCCTCTGTATCCGTGCTGAGATTTCGTTGGAAATCAACCCGTTGGCACTGGCTGATGGTACTTCCCAAATAAGTGAAGCGGTCAACGTGCTCCACCACTTCACTCCTTATTTCTAAACTAAGATTCAGTGTAGTCCAGCCCTGTAACATCATCTTACATTTGGTGGGAGCGAATCACATGTCAAAAATTCGTAGATTGCAGCTCAAGGTGCTTAGAGGACTCTTCATTTTTTCAGCATCCTCGCCTAGAAGCACTATATCGTCTGCATATTCTAAGTCAAGAGTCAGGTAAAATATTTCCAGAAAAATGTGGTATTAAAACACTGTCAGCAAGAAGAATCACACACCTAACACTTTCAACAGACCTAGATCGAAATCCAACACACCGAATCTTGACTTCATTCCAACCAAAAAATCCCAATCGTAAAACTACGCATTATGAACATCATCGGGCAACCACACAGAAAGGCATTAAAAATTATGGACTAAGCAAAAATACAGCAAAATAATGAGGACTGAGTGAATCGGTGATGTGTAAACGTTAAAACAATGGCATGCAGTACTGGAGAAAAACGGTTATTAATTACAAAGTCGGTTAAAATATCCACATAAGTATTAATATTTTGGTTAGATCGCTTAGGAGGAATATTCGAAATAGTTATTTCATTGTAAACTCTACTTTCCGCCCAAGAACTAATGAAGACCCCGATCAAACAAATAATACTGTAACGACAGAAGACAAGGGCCAGACAACAGATCGTTTATTGAGAAAATCAAAAGACATTTATGTATTTTTATGTACACTATTATTCGTTATTGTTAGCAGAGAAACATATTCTTCTGATTGGTTGTACTGTCGCTGTCATCTCTTTGTGGCCGTTTCTTTGATGGTCAGACCATATATATATATATATATATATATATATATATATATATATATATATATGTGCGGTTTGTATCCGCCCACTCAGAGTTCGTCCTGACTGGTTGGTGAGTTAGTCTTTGTTTTTGTTCTTTTCTCCTGACCAAGGTTTAGGACGTAAACATTGACGTAAATTGCCGTCTAGCAATTTTACCCTAGAAGACAGCACTGACCACACTATTACTGATAATAATATTAATAATAAGTATAGGCTTTCCAAGATGTCGGCTAGTAGGGCGATGAAAGCTTCGCGAATTAGCTATCCAGCTCAGAGAACACAACCACGTCAAAATCATCCACCTGAGCTACAAATCACCATCATATCAAACGCTTTCTAAGTTTAAGTGGTGGATGGTGACTAGCAGTGTAATGCAGGGTGCGCATTTCGACCTATTTGGGACTCATCATATGGATGTACCTGCATGTCCCAATGAGTGATGATGTTCCCACCGGGGCTGGAACCCAGTGACCATAGATTCAAATGCCAAACGTCATCCACTAGACCACTTTGGCCACAAGAGCCATCTCTTGTGAAACGGGACATGTTAATTTAATTTAATTTTAGATTTTCCCGTCGATTGATTGGACCGAAGTGCTCGGTCTCAGGTTGATATGTCAGCTTCTTGTGCAGATGCTTCGATGATGTTTGGGGATGTAGTTAGAATTGAATTGGTTTACTTAAGGCATATAAAAAAACTTTTTTAAAAGAGAATGACCATGCCTTTTTACCTTTCAAGCTTCACTAATTTATCTAAGAAGAACTAAATGTAGCTTCGAATATTCCACTTATGAAATATTTCTAAAGGTGGAGGAGATTTTATCACCTAAAAACGCTAATAAATCACTGTAACAAAGATGAAAAAGAATTATATTTAGTAGAAAGTAAGGTAAAGAAACTTTGAAAAGAATCTACGCTTTGTCAAAATATTTTCACAGAACAATCATTATCATTGAAATATATATATCAAAATTATAATAAATTAAGAAGGACAAGTGTACCAGGATTAAGAGGGGTTCATCTTTTATCATTTCGACGATGCGTCTAAACTTGTTACAATCTGAACAATACAAAAATATAAATTACAATAAAGAGCTGAGTCTAACGGCCTTAAACTGAATCCTTCTAAATGTCAAACTGTTAATTTCAGCTTAAGATGTAAAAGACAGCTAAAAGAAGTCGTCGATTCTCATGACAATTGTAAGATTGACGACAATAATATAGGAATTAAATCAGAATTCAAGCATCTTGGACTTATTCTCTCTTCTGATCTCTCCTGGTCTTCCCATGTCTTAGCGATCTCCAGTAAAATATTCCGCCTGACATTTTACATTAAGAAGTTAAGGCACTCGGGTATAACTCAACCCTTCCTCTTACAGTTAATAAACTCTTGCATTCTACCTATTCTTCTTTATTGTTCACCCTCATTCTTTCCTGGTTTGCTTGAAAAGGACTATGTCACAATTCGTAGAATGCTGAAGACTGTCAGTAGGGTGAGTGGTGTCCCAGTGGACCACATAGTTAACGTCGTTGTCGATAGGCACTTGACTTCGTGCAATAAATTTGCTAGAGAGATTTTGTCTGACTTGGAGCATCCACTTTACCCTCCCTCAGCTTTCACCTTGCATCTCATCAGGTAGAACAAGAAGTAACTTCGGGAAACTGTATGCTCGCACGTCTAAGTATAAAAATTCTATGCTCACATACTTGGCACATATTTTGTGTGATGTAAGTAGTGTCAGGCAAGAACTAACTAACCTTTTTTCATCTAGTAAATAAACAATTTCCTCCATCCATCCTTATATACCTTCAAGTTTTACTTTTATTATTTCTATTATATTTGTGGTTCTGTTGCTTCTTTGTTTTACTGTCATAATTGCGAACACCAACTTATCTCTATGACTGCTGTAATTTTTGTTTTTCCCCTCACCATATCATGTAAAGAGAACATTATATTCAATATTTTTAAACATGTTAGGATTTCTATACCACATCGACAATACTGTGTGAAACAAGCCAACGGTAATATTCACTTGTACTATTTTTATTACCTTAGCTGTTATCATTATTATTATTTCCATTTTATGTGCTGCATGTTTTTGACATTACCTTTATTGTAAATGTGTAAAATTTTCTGTGTGATTAATTTTTATTTATAATTTGAGAAAATTAGATGCAATATTGTGATTAATGATGAAAATTCCATTCTGTATCACAAGTACTGTTTTTGGAATAAAGTAAATCACTACTGTTATTATAATTATTACTAACATACTTTTTTCGCAATGACAATCAGTAATTCATAGAAACTAAGATTAACATAAGTGTGAAATGATTTAATTTGTTAAATCACCAGAAGTGACTACTTTTAGGATAGTTAGACAAGTACTCTTGAGAATATTTGCGTCGATCCGCGGCCGATGCACTGCCTAACATCCCTAGCCAGTTAAGTGGATAGGTTTAAAGTGAAGGTAGCAACCCTACCCAGTAAAAAATAACCACCACTGATACTAAAATACCGAAGCTTACTTAGTCATGAAGCCCTATTTTCGATTCAGAACTCAAAGGATTGAAAATAAAAATAATCTCCTGAAAAAAATGAGTTCAGAATTTTCTCTAGGTAGAAATAAAGTTTAACTATAAAGAGTATAAGAAGTTCAGCAAAGATGGCGATCTTTTCGGTGATTTCATTCTCAAAAGCAGCTGTACAATCGCATTTATATACATTTATATACGCCGCGTTTCGTGGAGAAGAACATAATACCAAAGCCAAAAAATTACTTTATTTGAATCTGGAATTCATGGGAGACCTATCAGCAGATACCCTTAAAAGGAGAATCTCCAATTCCCTGAAGAAAACTTTTCCTGCAGCAACTCTAAGAGTGATATTCTCTAGCCGCCCACTACTTCGGAGCAACGGAAAGCAATGCATATGACCA